CATAAAAATCTTAATTCTGGCCGGAAATTGAATTTCGGCCGGAGTTAAATTCATCTATTTTAACCGGTTAAAAAAAAAATCTTTAACCGGTTAACATGTTAACCGTTTTAACCGGTTAATTAACCGGTTCCAACCTCTATTCGTTTTATTTAATAATGAAACAGCCATGGTGGCGGTTTAATATAACTTGTTTTTATGTTTGGAAACGACTTTTCTCGCCCTATTTATAAATAGAAGAATTATGACAATGTTAAAAAACTTTTATGAAACTTGCTTTATATGGTATACTCTGAAGAAAGCAACAGGAGTAGAAATTCAACGATCAATAAATATATTATTTACAATATTTATTCTATTTGGTTGAAAATAAGCATATTTAAGAGAAATTATTGATTTATCGTTGGGTTTTAATAACAAACAAGGAAATCAATCAAAAAATCAATCAACTAGGCGGATCACAGTATAGAAGCGTCCTTACTGATAACCAGCAAACCAGAAACACATTATCAATGTCATCATCAGCAATAGCAAGCAACGTTATAACCATCAGCTGCAGTAGCAGTAATACCGACACTAGTAGCATCACCATATCATCATCATCATTGGCACTACCGTGTTGTAAACATCTTTAAATTAATTAGAACCCTATTAATATGTATTTGAGTTTCGCATTAAAAAGCTAAATTCGATAACGAGTCTTTATTAAAGAAATATATATATTCGAAATTGATGATTATCACCTCAATACACATGATGAGATCTAAATGATATGGGAATTTTGCAATTAAAATGGAAAAATATGAAATATTTTCCTCGACAAGTAAAATATATTTATGAATAGTAAATTTGTTTCTTCCGCCCATTTTATGTGATTTCAATATAACCTGAAAGCCAGAGGAATAATTAAACATCGCCAGCCCCGCTGTTAAATCATTTGGAAGCGAACCATCTCAAAAGAGGAACTTAACTCCGAACAAAATAAATAATCATTCAGTAACTGCGCGACTACAAGGTATCATCTAAAAAAGGAATTTAAAAAAATTTAAAAAATAATTTTACCAATGAATTTTATGTCGAAAGAATTAGCTTAAGGTTAATCCGGACTGGTTCTCAGAGCAAGAACCGGTCCCATTAACCGGTCTAAGACCGATCTTAGCAGGACCGAGCCCACAAATAAAATAAAATAAAAGAATAATCGAAGCAGTTCAAAAAATAGAGCATAAAAAAGGAAATAAATTTAGACCATAATAAAAAATATACAGATGAAAGCCCTAAAATATATACTTGAAGTACGCTATTTTTATAATTATTTGCTATATTAAAAATTTAAATATTTGTGAATTTAAAAATCTGCAAGAACTGTATTTCATTAAGCTAATGGGTTGGTGTAGTTAAATGGTTCTAGACGCAAACGTAGCTGTAATTGGTCAAACGTTTAAAATAATCACTCAATATTTCTAATTAATGTCGCTCATTTAAAAGAAATGACCTCACAATATGGTCGCAAAAATAAAATATAAAAAAAATTTATCTAAAGAAAATCATTGTCAAATGACAGCGAGTTCTATTATCACTTAATCCTGCAGCAAATCGAGAAAAAATTTTTGATATACCGGATTTCATATAAATCACATGAAATCCGTTATATCAAATCTTATATGATAAATTTTAAAATTTTAAAATTGTTTCTCTTTTATATTGAGAATTATTATTATCGGTGGTTTTCTGTTAATTTTCTATCTTTATAGAAGAAATGGAAAATGATGTAAAAAGATGTAAAAAAGATTTAAGATATTTACATCCGTGCAGTAATCCTATTGGTTCCTGAATGCAAATTATCACGTTATTCGTTAAGCCTAGGTCCGGTTTATCAGGTTTTCGGCAACAGCAAAATCGCAAAACAACTTATACATTAAATATTGCAATGACTCGTTTGATTATCATTACCTCACTGTTCGCAACATCAATTTCTTCTACACAAAATCACTGGAATAACGGATATGGTTATATTGATAAATTCAACTACAATGCTATAAATATTACAGGTCATGTTTAGTTAAATTGAGGGTAGTGGCCGGGCCGGAACTCGACCCGAGTTCAAAGTGTAATTTATAATTCTGGCAACTTGTAGATAAATTTGTTATTAAGAAATTAGATTTTGTATTGAAATTTAAACTCGTAATTAAAAATTATTACAGCAAACCGAAAGAGTAAGTTATTATTAAATAAAGTTGAACATTATAATAAATTAATAAAAATATGGGCCGGGACATTAAAGGCCATAATAGAATGTTTCACCTAAGCTTTTCTTATTTGCTCTTCCTAATATATGAACACAAAATATTTACTTTTATCCTTTGTATAGAACAATTTGAAATTTGTTTACAATTGTATTTTAACATGGTTCATTAATTCATATATTCATAATTTTGCTGACATTGTTGTCCGGATAATGTAAAAGAAAAAAGTAATTTCATACTTTTCGTCGAATTAGATATAATGCTTTTATCACTAATACGCCTAGGGATGGTAAGGTCGGTTAGCAGTTGGTCAAAGTCTTTTGACCGAAAATTTGATTGACCTATTTTAACTTGATTGACCGGTTAACAGAATATAACTTTACAGTATTTGAAATTTTTAATTGAGAAAAATATGATAATTTAATTTTTATTTATTTATTATTCTTGCGTATCATTTTTTTTATACTTTCTCATATAAAATAATTCTTATCATCAGGATTTTACTTCATTATTTATTGGAAAGCTATAGTTAACTGGTAAAACTTATTTAACAAATAGCAAAAGTCGATTCGATGGATTGGTTAATATAGTTTGACTTTTGACGGGACTTTATTATAGTTTCGAGTTTTGATGGTTTTGCCAAATATTGATCCCGTTGAAATCCGAGAGAAAGTTTTTCCAGCAATTATATTATCGCGGACTTTAATTTTTTTTATTTTATTATAACTTAAATTTATAATTTAAAAAAGTATATTTTAAATACAATAATTATTAGTTTTACTAAATAAAAAAATGGTCAAAATAGGTCGGTCAACTGGTCGGTATGATGATTTTGTCACAGTTGGCCTGGGATATGCTCAAATGCTTGAGAAAATGCAAGAAATTATTGACCATAATATCACGTGATAAATACCAAAATAAGAAGAAAATTATTATTACCGAAATATTATTTGCGTAACTTGAAGAAATGTCAACCCGTTTTAAAAAGGTGTGTGAATTTGGAAGAATAATCTCGAGAATAGTTCCAATTTAATTATAAAGTTTACTCATGTGTAGTTTGCTATTAAATCAAGTTACGAGGCATAGTTAAATTATATGATCGAACATTATTTCAATTGCAAACCTTTTACATATTTCATTCCCTTTTAAGAAAGTTCTGTATGTCAAACGTTATTACTTTTTTTTTTTTTAAAAAAAAAAATAATCGTTACTGTGAGAATTAAAAAAAAAAGAATTTTTTTGACATCAACTTTTTTTGCTTTCAACAAAATTGAATATCTATAAAAAAAAAAAATAGACTGTTATTTGGATGATGTTATATGTAAAAATATTTATTTTGCACGATTGAATGTTTTTTTGTTTGTAGTTTTTTTTGATCGGCGCATGTTTTCGTGGGGGCTAGTGTTCCGAATCACTTATTCCATCATCACATTATCACAAAATTATTGACCGGATGTTCGGTCATTTACACTAACCAATGATGAATATTTCGTTTCTTTGATAACTTTGAAAAATCACACATTGATTAGATAATACTAGTTTTCGAGGCACCATCCGCAAAATCTATATATTGTTATAAAAAATAAAAAATGGCTGATTTCAGAACTGCGGTGCAGCCTATAATGTCCGAGACCTTTTTGAAAACATTCTGAAAAGATATCTACACGTGTTATGATAAAAAAAAAAAAATCTTTTGCAAAATGATCGGCGATCCCGTGAATTCTAAAAATTAACTAAAATTCTCATGTTATTTCACAATTTCTTAAAATGGATGATTATTATTACATTTCTGGTTCTAACTAATTTTGCCTTTAAATAGTGTCGCAGATCTTTATATTCGGGGAATTTGTACTGCTGCTTTACTTCCATATAAATAACGATAATTATTATCAAAATCATTTTTTTTTCTTCCTTTAACTTATAACAATGTTAAATCAGGATGTAAATTTACTAATTGAGGATGAAGCTGGTAAACTTTTGTTTTTATTTCATTGTTTATTTATCTTAATTTTTATTTATTAATTAAAATTTCAATATTTAATGATCATAGATTGTAAGTTATTTAATTTTTAATTCTTACGTTATTTAATAAGCTCAGTTAAATTTATTTATTTTAAAAATGTAATATTACAGATGGTGAGTTATTTGAACAGTTTTAGTGTTATGTGTGTTATTTAAAATGACTAAATTTTTGTATAATTATACAATTAACTCATTATAGAAAGTAAGTTATCTTTAATATTTTAAGCTACATAATTTAATCCTTATTTATAAGAAAAATTTTTGTTTAAAAATTTTTATCGATGATATAGATTGTAAGCAATTTTTACTTGCCAATAACTTCTTTTTTTTTGTATTTATATAATAACTAATTTTTATTTTAAATAAAAAGACGTAAAAATGTTTAATGACAATACTATAGAAAGTAAGTTATTAAGTCTTAATTCTTTAACTAATTTTATTAATCTGAATGTAAATAATCTAATTTTCTATTTAATAATTGATATATCACAGAAGGTGATTTATTTTTTATATACTAATTCATTAACTTTATTTTTTATATATTAACTTTAACTAATTAAATTTTTAACTTCAGATGATAAGTTAATACTTAACTATATTTTAAGTTGTTTTAATTTTACTAAATTATTTATTTTAAAATTATTTAATAATTATAAAATCAATAATACTTTAACTGGTAAGTTATATTATTAATTTTTCAATTTTCTTTAAATTTATTTAAATTATTTAAAGTTTAAAAATTTATTTGTATTTTATATTAATTTAATTTATTAAATATTTATATTTAATCAATAAGTGAGTTATATTTTAATTATTATTTTAAATTATTTAAACAGAATCTTAACTTATTCTAAATTAATTAATTTTATAGTTGATACATTATTTTTTTTTACTATTTACAATTTATATTATAACTTTTTTTTAAATTTTAATTCAAAAGGTGAGTTTTTTTTTTATAATTTTTTTATTTATTTTATTTATAATTAATTTAAATTTAAAAAAATATTATAATATTTTTTTTAGAAAGTAAGTAATTTTAAGTTTATTAAATATTTATATTAATTAAAATTAAAATAAATTAATATTTTTAAAATATTATTTAGTATTTAAATTATTTCAAAATCTGCAAAAGATAATAATATTATTGCACAATATAATTTAGCTAAATGTTATCAAAATGGATAGGGATTAAAATAAATTTAAAAAATACATATTATTAGTATCAGAAATCAGCTGATCAAGATAATAATAATGCACAATATTGTTTAGCTGAATTCTTTCAAAATAAATATGAAAAAAAGAATTTAAAAAAAGCATTTTATTGGTATCAAAAATCGCTAATCAAAATAATTATAATGCTCAATATAATTTGGCTAAATTTTTTCAAAATGGATGAGAGACTTAAAGGAATTTAAAAAAAGCACTTTATTGGTATCAAAAATCAGCAGAAAATGGTAATAAAGAAGCATTTAATTATTTACTTATATTAGCAATAATAATGAAGTTGCTCAATATTATTTGGCTAAATATTATCAAAATGGATGAGAAATTGAAATAAATCTTAAAAAAGCATTTTACTGACATCAAAAATCAGCATATCAAAATAATAGTAATGCACAATATAATTTAGCTGAATTTTTTCATTATGGATAGAAAATTAAAATAAATTTAAAAGAAGCATTTTATTGGTATCAAAATTCAGCTAATCAAAATAATTGTAATGCATAATATAATTTAGCCAAATTTTTTCAAAATGGATGGAAAGTTAAAATAGATTTAGAAAAAGCATTTTATTGGTATCAAAAATCAGCAGAAAATAGTAATAAAGAAGAATTTTATAGGTTAAAAGTTTAGCTGATAGTAATAATAAAATTGCACAAAATATTCTAGCTAAATATTATGAAAATGGATGGAAAATTAGGAAAAATTTAGACAAAGCATTTTTTTGGTATGAAGTATCAGCTAAAAATAATAATTTAAATACAAAGTATAGTTTAGCCAAATTTATCAAAATGGATGTGGAATTGAAAATAATTTTAAAAAATCATTTTATTGATATCAAAATCAGCAGAAAGTGATAATATAGAAGCATTTTCTTGTTTACAAATTTTAGCAGAAAGTGATAATGAAATTGCACAAAGTTTTTTAGCTGAATGTTATCAAAATAGATGGAAAATTAAAATAAATCTTAAAAAAGCATTTTATTGATATCAAAAATCAGCAAAAAATGGTAATACAAAAGCATTTTTTTTGTTAAAATTTATAGCAAAATGTAATAATGAAATTGCATAATATTATTTAGCTAAATGTTATCAAAATGGATGGGAAATAAAAAAAGATTTAAAATAAGCATTTAATTGGTATCAAAAATCAATTGATCAAAATTATAATAATTATAATGCACAATATGGTTTAGCTTTATGTTATCAAAATGGATGGAAAATTGAAAAAAATTTAGAAAAAGCATTTTTTGGTATGAAATATCAGCAAAAAATGGTAATAAAAATGCACAATATAATTTAACTAAATTTTTTCAAAATGGATAGAATATTAAAAAAATTTAGAAAAAACATTTTTTTAGTATATAACATCAGCTATTATAGTAATAAATGTACACAATATAATTTAGCTAAATGTTATGAAAATGAATGGGAAGTAAAATAAGTTTAGAAATTATATTTTATTGGTATCAAAAATTAGCTGATTAAAAAAATAGTAATGCACAATATAATTTAGGTAATTTTTATTATTATGGAAAAGGTATTAAGAAAGATATAAATAAAGCATTTGAATGGTTTGAAAAATCTGCAAAATAAGAAAATAATAATACATAAAATATTTTAGGATTTATTTATGAAAAAGGTATAAATAGAGAAAAAGATTTAGAAAAAGCATTTGATTGGTATTATAAAGCTGCTAAAAATGAAAATAAAATTACACAATATATTTTAGGTAATTTTTATTATTATGGAAAGGATATTAAAAAAGATATCAATAAAGCATTTAAATAGTATGAAAAATCAGCTAATCAAGAATATAGTAATGCACAAAATGACTTAGAGTATTTTTATAAAAAAGGTATAAATATAGAAAAAAATTTAGAAAAAGCATTTTATTGGTATCAAAAAACTGCAGAAAATGATAATAAAATTGCATAATGTAATTTAGCTATTTGTTATCATTATGGATTAGGAATTAAAAACAATATGGTTAAATCATTTAAATGGTATAAAAAATCAGCAGAAAATGAAAATGAATTTGCACAATATAACTTGGGATTTTTTTATGAAAAGGTATAGCAATTAAAAAAGATCTTAAAAAAGCATTTTATTGGTATCAAAAATTGGCAGAAAATGAAAATAAAATTTCACAATTCAAATTAGAACTATTTTATAAAGAAGGTATGGGAATTAAAGAAGATTCAGAAAAAGCATTTTATTGGTATCAAAAATTAGCAGAAAATGAAAATAAAGATGCACAATATAATTTAGCTAAATGTTATAAATATGGAATAGGAATAAAGAAAGATTTGGAAAAAGCATTTGAATAGCATCAAAAATTTATAAAAAATGGAATTAAACCTGAAAAAAGTTTTGAAAAATATGTTGATAATCAGAATAAGTATAATAATGATACAATTGAATTTATTATTATTAATAATTCCTTAGAAAATAAAGTTAAATTTATATTCTTTAATGAATTAATTGATTCAGAGCTACTTGATGAGGGGGTTTTAGAAGTATAATAAAAGCAACTTGGTTAAAAACAAATGATTATATTATTTACAAAAAATTAACTAATACAGGAACATTTAAATGCAATAAATTAAATGCATTTATTTATGAATTAAAGTACATTTGCATCTTAATTACAGTAATCGTATTATACGTTTCTTAGGTATTAGTCAAGGTATTAATATAATTAATTTATTTTTTTTAAAATAAAAGCTTATTTTAAATTTTTAAAGATCAAATTACAAAAGAATTTTTACTTGTAATGAAATATGCTAATGGTGGTATCTTCACAATTACCTTAATTATAATTTTAAATATTTAACTTGAAATGATAAAAAAAGACTAGCATTTCAAATCGCAGATGGTTTGAATTATTTATATAATGAGGATGTCATACATAGAGATCTTGTAAATATTGCTTTTATTATTTTATGTATATTTATGATTATTATTAATTTATATATTATTTAGCATTCTAAAAATATAGTGATCGATGGTAATAATGCCAAAATCACAGATTTTGGTATTTTAAAAGTTGAAAATAATTCCACTATAGTCATTAGAACTTTTGGTAAAGTTGCCTATATGGAATCACAAATACTTGCAAATCCAAAATTTCAATATAAAAAACCTTCAGATATTTATAGTTATGGTGTATTGATGTGAGAAATTTCTAGTGAGCAACTTCTATTTAAATCGTTTAATGGTAATTTAACAATAATTATTGCTATCATCGATAATATTCGTGAAAATGCTGTATTCAACATTCCTGTAGATTATGAAAGACTTTACAAAAAATGCTGGAGTCAGAAACCTGGGCAAAGACCAACTATTATAGAAATATTAGAAGTATTTTCAAAGATAGACTTTAGAATGAGTATTAAAGATGATTCAACTGAACGTACGTATTTATATATTTAAATTAATATTTTTTTTTTTTCAATAATTTAATTTGATTATTATAATTAATATATATATATAGAAATTGATGAAGTAGCAAATAACTCTGATTCTGAATCACAAGTTGGTGATAAATTTTTAGAAAACTTTCAAAATGATACTATTGCGGATTTATCTAGTATATTTATCTATATAAGTTTCTGATTTGTAAATTACTTAGCATATTAATTTATATTATTAATATTTTAGTAACAAACTATGAAAATGTCAAATATTGATTCATAATTTTTAAAGCAGTATATATTAGCAAAATGCAGTTTTTTTTTAATCATTTGATAAATAATTACAGTACGTATAATGTATTTAATCTGCGATGTAATTATATAAATTATGACACTAATTGAATATCAACAAAAGTATATATATGATCTAACAGTTTGAGATAGTATTAACCAGTCTAAAGGCCTTAACTAAGTGTCATAAAGAAACCATGTTCAGTAGTGCAGAGAATAGCAGCGATCAAACAATTTATTTATATATTTTCATTTTCTATATTAATATTATATTTATATGCTTTATTTTTTGAGAGTAACTCTATTATTTATGTAAATATCTATCACGAAATAAATAAATAATATTTATCATTAACTAAAAACATTGCATAACGAACTTTTGCTGAAACTTCTGGTTTTGCCTAGAAATCTCATTTGATTTCTCTTATATTTAAGAAATTACTGCAAACCTAATCACAATTAAGAATTAAGTGAATTACTCTTATAATAATTGCTAGTAATTCAGATTCATTCTTAAACTATTTTAACCATTTTATTTATTTAATTATTTTTTCTATTTTATTTAATTTTCGATATTTCTTTTTTTTATAGATATTCTAAAAGTTGTTACTTTTTTTATATTGTTCAGTTTTTTTCTTTTCTTTTTATTTTTTATCGTTCTTTTTTCTTCTATTTTTTTTTAGAATTTTTGATCCATTCAGGTTGCTGTGTTATGTAGGTTTTTATATTTCTTTCTTTTTTTTGATTTTATTTTTATCAAATTTATAAAAAAAATAATTGCATTAAAATATATTTGATATATATATATAAAAGCAGTCCATTTAGTTAAAATTCAATTATTGACATGAATCAATATTAGTAGAATTATATAGATAAATATTATTTCTGATTTGCAATAAGTTATGGAAATTTAGAATCTTGAACATTTATTAAAATGACAAGAAAAATAAGTAATTATTCTTATTATTGTAAATTAAAAATTTATTATATGATACCATTCTCATCAATAATATTCATATTTTTGGTATTGCTCATATGTAATAGAACAATACCAAAAAGTCAATACAGTCTACCCTTGATATAGCGAATTTTGATCATTTTGGAAGGAATGTACATAAAGTATGAAACCTTACCAAAAAAATAAGAGAGAACTTACTGCAGTTTTTAGAGAATGAATGGTCACAAATCGAGGAAGAAGTTTTAATAAATTTGGTAAATAGGCATGTCACAAATTGTTGAAGTTGCAATTAAAAGTATAGAAATTTATTGATACTAAGTTTAAAAAGTTCATAACCAGAGAATTCTGATAATATAAATTTTAATATATAATATAAATAAAGTTTTTGAGAAAGTTCACTTTGATATTTAGCTAATTATTTAATCATTTGAAATAGCTGGATACTTTTGGTAAGGGGTGTATATATAATATTAATTTAATGAAATTATTTCAATAAAGATAGTTGATGAAAATTGTTTTATTAATTTTAAACATATTTTATTCTTCATTTTTGTTATCATCTAATTTTCTTTTTCCCTTTCTCCTTTTTTTAAAACAATTATAATGATAATCAATTAATAATAATAGATTGGCTGCCTAAATTTCTTGCTATTCGAAGACTTTTTTATAATAGCATTTTGTTTATTTATCGGTAGGTTCAATATTAAATAATTCTGTAATTTTTGTTGTTTTAATTTAATTTAACTCTAGAAAATATAATTTTTTTAAAATACTGGTAATGATGCAGTTCGTACAAATCAGTATGAATTTTCTAAATTTACGTATTACTTATCTCCAGGGGATAACTTCAGTATTGTACAGTACGAATCAAATTTCGCGAAAAGTACTGTTCTACTGTATATGAAATGTATTAACATTTGATTATGGTACCATCAAATACTGGTGTATAAATCGACAACATATGTATGGTAAAAAAAAATTTTCTTTTAAATAAAAAATGTATGCTATGCAAAGAAATTATGATGTATATATCATTATGAAATGGCACAATCATTTAGCGTAACTTCCGAAGATATAAAAATCCCATTTGTTGCATATTTTACTTTTATATTATTTACACTGTTAGCTTATAACACAACACTCAAATTCCTTTTTGCAATGAAAATATTCTTTGAAAGTTTTTATCGTTGGTTGTTCATTCAGGGGCAAAACAACACTCAAAACACTCAAATTCATTTGGCAATGAAAATATTATTGAAAATTCTTAATGTCGACAAGGAATTCAGTGTCAGTGGAATAATAATACAACATAAGTTCATACGTTAAAGCTGCGTCAAAAGGTTGTGATATTCCTTTTTTTAAATATCAAGATTTTAATAACTTTTCTAAAATTGGTTCTGGAGGTTATGCTTCAATTTATAATACGCATTAGAAAAAAACTAAAACAAAACTTGCAATTAAAAAATTTGATAAAAGTTCAATGAAAGAAATTGAAGAAATTATTTTAAATGAGGTTTGATATAATTTTGTTAATATTTATAAATATATAAGTAGTTATTTAGATTAAAAATATTCTTTTCAGATGAATATAATGGAAATTATGAGAAAAGGAATTTTTTTCATCCAAATATAATAAGATATTATGGAATTATGAAATTAAAAGATAAATTAATTTTTTATTATTTAGTAATTTTAAAGTATCTGTTCACACCTCTTTATTATTATTATATTTTAGAAGAAGTAAATCATGCGCTTATTCTTGAATATGCAGATGGTGGAACATTAAGAAAATATTTAAGAGACAATGCTAAATATTTTAAATGGGAAAGCCAATTAAAATTTGCCAATGAAATTGCGAGTGCAATTTTATAGTTACATGAAAATGATTAATACTATTTTTTATTTAGATTCCAATAACATCTTGATCCATCAACGTTCAATCAAATTAGCAGATTTTGGATGTTCGTGTCTACAAGGATCAGATACTAAACCAGCACGTGGTGTAATACCTTATATGGATCCTAAAGTTTTTGAAAATCCTTTATATGAATTGACTAAAAAATCTGATATTTATAGCTTAGGAGTATTATTCTGGGAATTGACAAGTTGTTCCTCACCGTTTAATTTTGAAACTACGGGTAATACTTTTTCCATTCAGTTGGAAATTCTTAATGGTGCAAGAAAAATTCCTATTTCTGCCACTCATAATAAATTTGTAAATCTTTATAAAAGTAAGTATCATATGTTTATTCTTTATCACAATCTATTACATGTAAATTAATCTTTAATTTAATTGTTTAAATAGAAAGTTGGGAGCATAAGCCAGATGAGAGACCTGATATCGATCAAGTGATTCTGGAACTTAATAGTATTGATCTTAAATGTTAAAGAAAATGACGATTGTGAAACAATAAATCAATTAGTAACTTTTCAGATTGTGACATATCAAATTTTCTTTGATAATGATTTTAGACAATTAAAGATTTGATGAATTATATTACTTTATTATTAAATAAAATATTTTATGTTAAATTTGAGTAAATTTATTTATAGAACAAATAAATATTTTGAAAATGATTTTTTTTAATTATATTTACGGTAAATAAGTTTCACTTCTGATAAAAACTACCAGAGTTGGCTTTGGACAAGGTCCAGTAGGCACAATTTGGATTGAGGTTCGATTGCATTTGGACTTTAATGGCATTTAGACTAAGTTCACATTGTCCAATTATTTAAAGGAATATGTCCCATAAAATGTTCTAATAGTTTTTTTTTGTATATAGCCTGCTGCTAAAATTTTTCCGCAATAAATATTAAAATCAAAATAACCTTGCGGCATAGCAGCATTACGATTACCTATTTTCTCTTTTTTGCATAGTCCAGAATCAAGAATGCCTAAAAGCTTGTGGCACTATCCAAAAATTTCAGTTTATGGTTAGATCTATTACCAAATATAGTTGTCATTTTTATAGTTTATAACTTTATGCTTTATGCTTTATCAGCTTAATGGACACCGGTTTATATATAACAAATACTTACCCAATTTGACGCTGCGCCCATACCGAAAATCCGCCTAAAAACATGTATCTTATTGCTTTTTAAATTTATTTATTTTTATTTTTCAAAACTTTTCGAAGCTAATTTCGACAGATTTCGGTGGATAAGTTGGTTGCATAAGTTTTACTTTTAATTTTTTTAATTTTATCTTTTAATAATTTTTTTTTTTTGGTAAATTCTTTCGGAAGGTAAAGATTTTTATAAATTTATCATCATCATTATTATTGGGTTGTTTAAAGGCACAGTGACTAAGTGATTTCTTTTTTTTAAATTTTGCGCTCTTTAGGTTCTTCTTTCGAGATTAGTTTCCAAACGTTTTGGTCAGCGGGTGTGGTAGCAGTGGAGATGGATATGCCTCAGGCCTCCCTAGTTAAATATAAAAAAACTATAACCATTTGACTTTTCTTTTTTTTTTTATTTAAAAATTCATAAACAAAAATGGCTATAATATATTAAATCCTTCATTGATATAATCACCGATAAAAAGAAATGGTAATTATTTTTATTTTATATTTTACTCACTCAATGAAAACACTAACGACAACATTATTAAAATTTTGAGTCAGGCGAGTTTCAAAAATTCTTTTTCTTTATTTAATAAATCTTAAAAAAAAATTCGGCAATTGAAATTGGATATTAGTCCATCCAATAGTCCCAATAA